CCGTGACCCACCTATGCTGGGTTTTTATGTATTGACATTATCGCAATTTAGATGCGATAACATAAATTTTAATAATATACGTTAAAACATGCATAAAACATCCACGTGTCATAAATATTACAATAATGGACTAAACTTTAAAACCAATTTAATTATGAATAAAATCTCAGTTATAAAAATAATAAAACATTAAGTGCTTGCAATAATTTACAACATGTAAGCGCACTACATTAACCGACAGACTACTTGAACATTTAAGTTTAACTGTTTGAGCTAAATCAACGCTGAGTGAACAATTGTATAATTTTTTAATAGTAGAACCAATATATGGTACTGATGCAATTACCAAATTTATTTTGTATTTTCTTAGTGGACTGTGTAGAGGGTAAATTTAAATGACAACAGCTAGAAGTAAGTTAACTAAAGGTATGATTTTTAATTCTATTCTTACAAGTAAATAATTTTCTTATTGACAACAACTAGGTAAATAACTACATTTATGACAACAAGGTTACTTTATGATTACAACTGAAATAGTTGATACATACACTAGAAACAACATGCATTTACAAAATGATTACTAAACTATTGTTTCAACCCACTCATACAATCAAAAAATCAAGTAGGTTAATAGACTTATAAACTAGTAACAAATTACAATCTGATATGAGGTTTTAAGCAACAAGTGTAAATATATGTGACAATATATTAAATATACATAACATGTTTAAAAGTGTGCATTACAACTAAATTTTTTAATATAATGTTTCAAAATTAATGAATTGTCAGCTCAAAGAATTGATACTCATTTGATTTCAAGGTATAAGCTAATTCTAAACTACATGTACAAAAAAAAAAAAAGAAACTAATAGGGGCAATTTATTAATAACTATGTCATATAAGGTACCAAAATGAGATCCATTACAAATTTTAAATTTTGTGAGTTTTAGTGTGATGGTTTTAATTTGAGAAACTAGATAGTTTCTGAGAAAGCAAATAAGTTTAAGTTGAGGGATTACAAATATGAGTAAAGACAAAATTGGTGAACAAAAATTTGAATTTAGCGGCTGATCGACAATGAATTTTAATAATTATAGGTTGTTTTACATGACATATTGTCAATAAGTAAAACAATTTTGAGATTCAACTGGATAAAGTTTTACCACCCACCTCCAAGAAGTCTTAGAACTCTAGTGACTGATTTCAACACTAATTTTAGATTTTGACTTGTCTGCTTAATGTACTATTACAATATCTCTTGATATGACAACAACAAATGTGTAATAATTATCTTATATTACCAATAAACCAATATTTAATAAGAAATTTGAAATCAACCACGAGGTTTCTAAAACTTGATTTAAGATTTTAAGTTATGAAATAATTGTAAGCAATGTTTCCTACAAATTAAAATAATAATGTGAATTACCGTTACAAATTTGTCAACAATATGACAGCGATAAAAGTCCAAGAAAATTTTGGCAATTAATTTTTTACAAACACAATGGCGACTATTTACGAATTGAGATCTTCACCAACGACTAGTGGACAGCTTGGCAATCCAAAAACGAATGTCGAGAGTAGATTTTGAAGCGTATAACGCTACTCTGGCCGACTCATTTCACCAGTGATAAGAGAAGTAACGGGTGACCATTCAGTGTGACCACAGTTTAAAGATAAACTTTGCTGAGCGCAAACACAACATAATAAATTTAAAATAGAATTTTTCAAAGCCAATTTTATGTTCGTTTCGATAAAATACCAAAGGTGAAATTTTTACCATAGAAAGTAAACATGTGTAATAAAATTGTACATCATCAACAATTTTTGATTTTCAAAATATCATTTTTTTACAAAAACAAAAAAAAAGCATTTTCAAAATTACATAAAAAATACATTAAATATTAAAAAGTCCTAATGTTTATTATTGAACATGTTAGAAGACCTCATAATGAAAAAGTGATGAAATTTTCAAGTCTTTAGTATAAATACATAAGTTTCAAGGATATTTTTATAAAATACTGGTATTTTGCAATTTCAAAATTTTGACAGGTCATAAATTCATTTTCACCTAAAAAATTATACCAATGTGTTCAACAAGACAATCATGACGTTCTGCACTAACTTTCTTTTCTCGAACAATTTAGGATGAAGGAGATCTTTTTGAATATCTAATCTATTTTGGATTTCATTAATAAGGTTTTGATAATTATCATTAGTCTTTTTAGTATCTTCATCTCTAGCTTTCATTCTCTTGAAAAGTTCTCTCTTCTTTATCAGTCACTTCGTAACTGTAACTGCTGACTATTACTATCACTTCTCTCATTATTTTCATAAGCAGGAGATGAAGGAGTACCTATACCCAGACGATCTGGAGGTTGAGTAGGGAGTTTGCTAAGTCCTTCTGCCATGATGAATAAAAATAAAATAAAATAAAACAAAATCGCGTTTGATAAGCAAATGCTAATCACATAAGAAATTAATAGTCGTACGCAATAAGTCTAGGGACACCTGACTAGTTCCTAACAGTAAATAAGCCCTCCTAAACCAGCCATAACAAGTGAAAGGGTTGCTAACTTGTCACAGAGTAGTTAGCTGAAAGGTAAAGTGACCATTGGGATCCTCTATGGACTTTGACTGGTTTACTGACAGAACATGGTCACTTGCTTAATCATCTTTAAGCGAAGAGGATATCAGAATCACCATTTTACATAATGTGTAGATGTGAAGCCTTGTCCACACAAACATCAAACTACTTGAGTAACCTATTTCCTGAAAAAATAGATATTAAAAACCTAAGATCCAGAGAGATACTTAATTTCCCCAGAAAGACAGGTATCTATGGTCATCCACAGGGGTAACTTGAAAGTCTACCCTTCATAAATTATAGGTATAATGTAATAATACTTCGGTGATAACAATTAGGTGTGTAAACCGAATCAAGACCATACGGTATGAAGTGTGTACATTGGACTAACAGGTCAGATAGCATGGGCATTATGTCCACCTCACTAATGACTAAAACTAATATATTTATATACATTTTTTTTATTTCACGTTAAAGTAATATTTATTTTATAATTGGCAAACTATTAAAAATTACATTAGTGTAATTAAAAATTATTTAATACAATGTTTATTGTAAAGTTAAAAATCGAGTATTGATATGTGAAATTTAACTCTTGGAGGCTACTATAATAATTTCTTTTCAGTAAATGTTAATTACTATTTTTGAACTTTTCATTTTGAAATAAATGTAACATTAATAAAAAAACTAGGAGTGAAAATTTTTGAATAGGGTTATTTAAAACTGCTTGATACTGCTATATGTTTACATACAGAGATAGGCAATTCATTTTAACTCTATTTTTTTATGATTTATTTTTTATTTTCTGGTTAACTTTTTAAAAATTTTTATCTACATTAGTTTTTTTAAATTTTCTTGTTGAAACGGTATTTTAAGCACAAAAAAATGATATAATCAATATCATTTTTATTTAACGTGTCTTTTAAATATTTATACAAATATGTGAACAACACAGATTTCAAAATGAATTAATGACATTTAAATAAACCTTAAGCAATGACAATACGATACGATAAATGTTTGAATTTAGTGATTACACATTATTCTAATTTTAAAATATTAAATTATATTGCTAAAAAAACATGAATACTATAAAATTTAAATAAAATAATTTTTTACATCTATAATTTATCTAATAAATGGAAAATTTTGAATTATATCCTTTTGAGATAAACCTAGTGTGACTTTTTGTAATATATTTCTAGCGATATTAAAATCGTTAAGAACAACTAATTCTGTTTTATTAAGATGTACCCTGTCCCTTATACTATTAAAATTATGCTGTAATCATCATCACCTAAAAAACGCAACAATATACAAAAATATATAGATTTTTACAATTATTTGTTAAATAATAACATTCGTCATAAATATGTTTTTTCAAATTAATCAAATATCTTATGAGATTTTTATTGTCATTTGGGTTCAATGTTACTACCTAAAATATGCAAAATAGTCTATTGTATACCTTTATTTTTCAAGTTCTAAATTTTAAAGAGCATTAGGGAATTTTTTTTTACTTGTATTCAAACAAATAACTTGCAAAGTTTTGATTCTATTGGACTTTACTAATATTTGGCTCTTTAATCTTAAAGTTTGACATATAATTAAATTGAGTTAATTTTTAATTGTAAAAATTTTTATTTGACAAAAATTTACATAGAATTATTTTTATTGTATGTTTATTATGCTAAAAATAGTTCTCTTTGTAATTTTTTCCTAAGGGTAGATTTTAAGGTAACTTTCGAAAGTTGAATGATAACCTATTATTATTCTTTGACTATTAAATAGAGAATGGTCTAAATAAAATTTTCATGAGTCTCTAACCAGTGTTATATTATTTTCTGAGATATTAGCATTTGATTATTTAAGAAAGGTATAGATCAAGGTAGTGCTTAGTGACAATCTATTAATGCAACAAAGCACAGACAAGAATAATTTTTCGATTGGCACTCCACTGCTCATGATTAAAACTATAAACAACTCAAAAATTTATAATATAATACTGGTTATCGACCCGTTAAAATTTTATTTAGACTATTTTTCATTTAACAATATAACAATAATAACAGGTTTTTATTTAACTTTCGAAAGTTATCCCTACAATTTAACCTTTGGAATAATATTTACTCACAATTAACTTGATATTTACAATGGCTTATGAAAAAAAATTAAATTTTAATCTATAATTTTAGTGTTTTGTAATAGATATTTAGCACTTATAATTTTATTTTATTTATATTTTTATAATAATGATTTTTTTTAATAAACCGCATTACAATGAGAGATGATAGATATAAAAACACCAATACATGTATGAAATATTAACGCAAATTAGTAGGACAATAGATTGCGCATAGATCTCTCTAAATTAATTAACTAGCCAATGAGAAGCATTGTGCAAATTAAACTAATTCCCCTCCTCATAAAACAGGTCTATAAAAGAGCAATTTCTAGCTCATTCGTCTACTAATTTTTTTTTCTAAAAATCTGGTCATTAAGCGTTTTCTGCACCAGATTATTTCGCGTTTTGTGCTATTTCTTACTTAAAATCTTTTTACACTTGGTGTTTATTATCTAAATCTCTCATAAGTAATGTCATTTTGAAAGAATAACTTAACTTTTTATCTTTTTATTTTTTTTTTAGTTTTGAATATTTATAAAATATTAAAACACATTAAATTTTTATTTTGTATTTTGTGAGTTGTTTCAATTAAGAATTTTTTAATTCTTCATTTGGAGTGTCTATTTAATAAGTGCATTTCGAAAATCTACCTTAGCACATCTAGCGGTTGAAACTGTTGTAATACAATAGTTTGTGACGTGTCACTAAGGAGATCGTAGAATGTACTTTAAATTTAAGTAGATACGTGTTTGATTGATTGCACAAGATACTGATGGTTTGTTGAAATCATTACCCTAGCACATCTAGCGGTTGAAATTATTGGTAAAACAATAATTTGTGACGTGTCACTAGGGATTGATTCTCATATTCCATTACGTTCTTTTCGGCAAGCAGTTTTTGACTCTGTAAGGTCCGGGCATCGACGAGAGTAATCTCCGATGGTGTAGCCAGCCTGTCTCTAACTCTGGCGACTCTCATGTCAAATACACAATTTCATAAAATATCGATAGTTTATTGAAGTCATTACCCTAGCACATCTAGCGGTTAAAACTATTCGTAAAACAATAGTTTATAACGTGTCACTAGGGATTGGTTCTCATAAGCTATCTGGTTATATAATTTTCCTTATTTTAAAATATAAAGTAATATATATACTCAGACACCAAGTATAGAAAGGAATTACAGTGAAGTAATATTTCAAGTTTAACAATTTGCATAATTTTACAAAAATTAATAAGTAAATAAAAGTCAGTGCTCTCTTCACATATATATCTTTTACGCAATAAACAATCAAGCTAGCTGGACACAAGGTAAGAAATTATATTTCTAAGCATGTCATAAAATTAAGGGTAGACTTAAGATAAATCAAGAATAACTTTTATCAAGGGAATAATAGAATTGTTAAAGGTGGATAATTTGAAAAGTTATTAATAACTACTTTCTCACCATTCGGATCATAATAGTGCGCGTTCAACGTAGATGTTTTAACTTGTATTATACAACTACATAAAGAAAACAATTCATTGCACATTTCATTGTAGAATTAATATAACTCAGGTGTGCATCATCCGAATATAACTTTCCTTCAATTTATATTTTTTTTTTACGACAAAGCACGCGTGGTGGTAGTATTTTAATAAAGAGTTCATGGAATGTCGTAATATAATCGTCATTATTATTTATACGAGACAACACTAAAAATACCCTGTTCATGTACTTAACAATGTTATCTTTTTTAGTTTTTATTAGTATAAATTTTTTCATTTCAAATTGTCACCACTTCTATGGATAGAAGTGGTACATTTTAACTTGTTTTATTATACATTATATTCTTACAAGGACATGATCCTTTTCGAACAAAAACTTAGATAGACATTTAAGAGAAATAGTCAAAAGACTCACACTGTTTAACTACATTGTAGTGTATGCGGTTCGATCATAAATCAATTAATAATTACTTTAAAAATCCTTCCTCACCAAAATAAAATCTATATATTATTTTTGTCATCTTTGTTATTCTACTATAAAAAGTTAAATGCATTGTATCAATTTTCGTCTCGCTTGTATAAAAACATGTTAATGTTATATATGTAAATGTCAAACTAATTTATGTTCTATTCATCTGTATTGATCTCTGTGTTTTTCATGCTTACTTATCAATAAACAATCATACTAAAAATTCGACAGTGACGATTTTTGGGGGTAAAAAAATATTATAAAAAGCCAGAGCAAACCCTTGCTCCGGGCTGTTCATTTCATGCTCCGTATTGGGCTGTTCTTTTAGTGGTCCGTATTAAGTTGTGCGAACGTCGTGATCGTCATTGTCGAAATTTTATGTGTTAATTTGTGAACTGAAAATCTGAACTTGTGTACTTTATTTATTATTTTCACCGATATCATCACTAAGGATAATTATAAAAACCAGAGAATTTACCAGGTAAGATTTTTTACATCGTTATTTTATGACCCTCGAATTACACCCCGAATCAAAAGTAACTCTCACTTACACATTTTTTGCACCAACAATAATAATCATTCTGACCCTTTTTTTATAGTATTTTATTATATTATTTTATATTCTATTTTTGAGTTACGACAGGATATACGTATCGTATGCTATATTTTCACCTTGTAGCTAAACGTACTTCAACAATCTGTTAACCATAACATCTATATATAACATCTACATTCTATTATTATTCCTCTTTCTTAATTATAAAAAAATATAAATATCACACGTATGGCCACTTATTTTATTTCCCTCATCATCCTTCATTATAGTAATCTCTCTTCATTCTTTTTATTATTATAATTAATATCCATATCTTTTTACCTTTTTTTCGTTTTATGACAACTTTTATCGAGGGAATAATAGAATTGCTGAAGGTAAATAATTTGAAAAGAGGGATATTATTAATAACTACTTTTTCACCATTCGGATCATAATAGTAGGCATTCAAGGTAGATGTTTTAACTTGTATTATACATCCACATAAAGAAAATAATTCAGCCATTGAGGCTTGGCACCCAACAATTGGACAGTAGCATTTTACATTCATATAGCATGACCAATAAATATTAAGAGTCGTAAAATCCTCTTCCATAATCGTTGCACATTTTATTGTAGAATTAATATGACTCAGGTGTGCGTTATCCGAATATAATTTTCCTTCAATTTACGTTTTACAACAAACCAAGTATGGTGGTAGCTACTTAATAAAGAGTTCACGAATATATATATTGTATGCTTTATTTTCACCTTGTAGCTAAACGCACTTCAACAATCCGTTAACTATAACATCAATATTCTATTATTATTACTCTTCCTTAATTGTAAAAATATAAATATCACACACATAGCCAATTATTTTATTTCCTTCATCTCTTCATTCTTTTTATTATTATAATTAATATCCCTTTATTCTATTTACTTTTTTTGACAAAAATATAAATATAACATATATTCAATTATAGCCAATTATTTTAAATTTAATTACCTTTATTTACTTTACTTTTTTTATGACAATACTCTTTACAATAAGTTATAACATTATAAAATAAAAAATGTAAAATACAATATCGAGAATTTCCACATAAAATATATATATCCACATAGCATTTGGTAACCATTTTCACCACGAAGACAAGTCCAGAGGTCAAATTTTATTTTTTCATAATGGAGTATATTACATTACCTTTAGTTTAAGATATAAATATAGATGTCAGACCTTCCGGATAATTTTCAAAAATTAAGTTGAAAAAGTTGTCATTTTAAATCTCCCCCTGTGGGCAGATAAAGGGTAAAATTTATAATAAAAATATACCAAATGATAATTAAAGACATTAAGCATCTATTAAAAAAAAAAACTATATTGATATGTTTATTTTTGAAAAAGTTACAGCGGTTTTAAGTAAAAAAAGTTGAAAATATTTCGAAAATTAGCGATTTTGAAATTTGTAATTTTTTTGGAGGTTTCCCCCATTTACGGGAAACGATGAAATTTTTTTCAATTTTTGAGGGTAATGACTTCGACTAAATACGATTTGTGATCTTTTGACGTATCCATTAAAAGAAATCGATTCGATGAGAGCTGAGAAAAAGTGGTAATAGACACAAAAAAAAAACACATCATAGGAAAACCATTACCTTCTCAGCTTTACATCGAAACTAAAATACTGGACACTTAATTTTATGAGATGGTCATTGTGTGTTTTTGTATTTATTTAATTTATATATATTAATTCTTCTAGCATGCATGTTCAACTTAAATTTAGGCACCTATTGTAAATGTATGCAAAGTTTTTTACAACGTTTTGGCTACTTACATTAGGATAACTTAAGTATTTTTAATTATTTGACATATTTAAAATTATATTATCTCATTTAAAAATCTAACAATTTTATAGTGCAAGCATTGCTAACAATTACATTCGGGCTTCTCACAACCTTTTTATATGTTACATAATAAACATTATCATTCTGAACAGACCTTGAGAACATGAAGGGTATTACTTTGGGGCCCCGAGACTAATCAAGAAGTCGACGACAGGGCCGGGCTTTTCATTGAAACAATTAGTAGCTAACAATTGAGAGCCCACGTGATGGAAGCTCCTCCATATCTCAAAAGCTTACGAACTTAGGAGTGTGGACATCGAATATCCAGAGGTTCTTACTAAGATGCTAATGTCTCACCAAATAACTTTATTTTAAACTAAACTTTTTTAATTATCCCAAATTATTTTATTTTGTTAAGGCTTGAGGTCAGACCTAAAATGTAGGGGGAGCATCTTATACGATCATATTATGTGATCATATCTCATATTAATAATGTAACGCTCACTAAGCTTATATCGTTGACACAGTGTAATGATATCCATAATACATCATTAATGTCATAATGTATTATTAATACTTCAATCAATCAATCACACAAAATAAAATGTATACTAATAAAAATAAGATATATATATGTACCTTTTAAATGTTTAAAAATACTAATAAAATTACGTAGAAAAAGAGTATATATTAATTATAAAAAACAAACAGGAAATAATAAACAATATGTAATGGTAGCACATAAGAATGGTAATAAACTATGTCTAAATTATTATATGAGATATGATTGTATTTTATAATATGTAGTATTTTATATATGTATGAAAATGTAATAAATAACAAGTAATAAATTACGATTAATAAAGAAATAACAGTGGCGTCGGGGATTACTTCTTGTCTTTGAACTACGGTCAAATTTAATATAAAAAGCCAAAAATATAGAGCATTCTAAGAGAGATGCAATCAGATATTTACAGAGGCACTCACTGCGCTCGATCATTCCACACTACGAAATATATGCAAGAAGTGATTTGCCGTCAACACAGTTATATTTGTTCACAAAATACAACATCTATTTATTTAAGAGTATAGCAGAAAATATCAAGGTAGGAATCTAATAATTTCACCAAAAATAAATAAGGTTTAAAATTAAATATTATGAGTACATAGATTAAGTAGGCATACAGGAAAATCAAGTGATTATCAATAATAATAAATATACCAAATAAATTTAATAAATCACTAATGTTTGTACAGAGTTACTTGGCAGAGTTATATCGTTGATACGTGTCTATTTCAGGAGTTAGGTTGGAGGTTTATATGCATAGCCACCATACCACTCTGTGTAGATACACGAGGTGACTCAATACCACCTATCATCGATAACCGTCAAAACTCATGGCATTATTGATATTTAAGAATTGACAATCAATTCTAATAAATCCTATATTAATAAAATAAAGATCACTTTATTTTTCTATCGTCTTCTATCTTTCTTACAGACCCTCGTACTCATACACCGAATAATAATATTATTAATACAATAAAGTAGTGGATAGAAAACAAATAAAATAAATAAAAAGAAGAAGGTTTTAAGAAAGCGTGAAGTAAAATAAAATACTAAGAAAAAAATTTTAAAAATTTACATTGTGAATATTGATATTAAAATCGAGAAAAGTATTATTTGATTGAAAAAGATAATTAAAATTAAGCTTAGAGTTAAAGGCGATTGAATTAATACTTTTAATCAAAACATAAAAATTTTAAGTAAGATAAATAGAGAGTGAAGAATTAAAATAAAAAGTGTTAAAATTCAGTTTTAAATAACATTTTCCAATTAAAATCAAATTAAAAATATATATATGTATATATATTTAAATTAATAAAATATTGAAGTGAAATTATTAGATAAAAAAAAGAGTAAAATAATGAAATAAGATTGAGAATAAAAAAATATTGAAATTGAAAAAAGTGATTGAAATAAAAGTTTAAAGTGAAAGAATAAATTTGAGAGTAAAAGATTATTAAAGAATAAAAAAAAATTGAATTAAAATAAAATTGAGTATAAAAAAATACTGAAATCGAAAAAGTGATTTTAAGAAAATTTATTGAAATAAAATAATTAAAATAAAATTGAGGATATAAATTATTGAAATTAAAAAATGAATTAATATAAATTATTAAAATGAAAGAATTGAAATAATGTTGAGAATAAAAATTATTTGACTTTAAAGAGTGAATAAAAAAAAATATTGAAATAAAAGTATTGAAATAAAATTGAGAATATGAATTATTGAAATTAAAAAGTGAATCAAAATAAATTATTAAAGCTCCCTAAATTAATAACCCCCTAATTATATCATATTAATACAATAAAGTATTAAATTAATTAATTAAATTATATTATTCTTTTTTTTTGATTCACTACACAGTGACACGCGTATTACTACATATGGACAGACTGCACACATTAACACTTTTGCAATTCATGGGCAATGTACCATGATAAAATATCCCTAAAGACAGTTGACTTTTTACCATCATCGTGACCATTACTCTTGTCTTATAATTGATTTAACTTACATACCACGTAAATAGTTTGTGTGTGTGTGCGTGTCGCCGTCAGCTCCCTGTTGGATTATATCATCTCTAGATGTCCAACAGGTTGTATTGTTTAATAAATCTTCACTTAATAAATATTTATATCGTTGTTTACCAAGAGTGTTATATATAAATATATATTGTAGTGTGATCCTTGTAGATATAGCCTAGCTAACTATACCCCGTTGGTATCTTAGAATACTGTTGATGGGCATTTAGGCTCAACCCCTAAACAGCGACGTAAAAAGTGTCTATAACGTCACCAACGGCCGATCACCCAGAGATTAAACAATATCGGTTTTTTTTTTTGTTAATAATAAAAGTTGTTTAATAATATTTTAATAATAATATAATAATATTCTATTCAATTAAGCGGGCGTCCCATACTTAAACAATGTTTCACACAAATAAATTATATATTTATATACAAAAAATATTTTAATTCGATCCGACCTAATAATTGTTCTCTTCAACTCGTGCTTGCCTAGAAGACGCTATTAAAAGTTCGGTTGGTCACTACAATCCGATATTTCCAAATTTCTCCAAATAACCGTTGGAACTCGCATCAGCCTCGATAATTACACGCTAATTCCCAATAGCATGAATTAAATTGTAATTTTAAACCGCAATATTATACTGACGAACGATTTATATTTTCGATCACCGATAATTTTAGTTATTAACCGAAGACAATTATAACAGGCAACAATTCAAAAGCTGCAAATAAAAATTCTCGGTAAAAAGTAAGATAGCGAGCGAATAACCCTAAAATAACCGGCATATATCCCGTCGATATATCAACTAGGTTTTGGCAAGCACCGTCACTAATCGTCGGCGCAACAGGTTGGTGTTGGAAACGGCTGATAAAAACCAATTGTCTCCATCACGCATTGTTGCCTGGCTCGAACAGTGTCTCTCACGCAATCCAAATTGAGTGTTTGGTGAAATGTGGTGCTCTTGCAAATTGGCCTGATCCTTTTCAACAGAAGTTTTTCAAACAGTTTACTTAGTGTAGGTAATAAGCTTATCGGTCTATATGACGTTGTCATATTTTTTGGTTTTCCTGGTTTAGGTACAAGAATTATAACGACAATTTTCCAAATTGATAGGAAGTAAGATAGTCGCATCATACTATTATATATGTATGTAAGAAGGAGAAAACCTTTTCATGATAAATTTGTTAGTACTTTATTTGTGATGATATCATACCCAAGAGCTTTTCCATTTGGTAGTTTTTTGACAGTTGCTTCAATTTTTCCAGGACTAAATGGCTCGACAGCAAGAGAAATAGATAAAGGACATGATAAAACGTCATTAACAGTATGATATGATTTGAATAGGGCACGATGTCGTCATGTGGTTTAAATGTATTCAATAAATGTTCAGCAAAGGTTGTAGCTTTCTATTCGCCTGATATAGCAAGAGTACGGTTATCTTTATGAAGAGGTAGGGTAGTTTCTTTAGTATGAGTCAATGGCTCGACAGAAAGTGGTCGCTGGTGATGTCACCAATAATTTCTATGCTTGTACCTAGCTGGTTTGGAATATTTGTTACGAAAAATTCGAGTATATCAGTGTTTCGGTTTGCATGGCATTGTACAGCCTTACATGTATTGAATAGGGTGAATTAGCCTAATGTTGTAATTAATACTAATTAATGCAGAAGTAGTACTTTATACCTGTGTACCCACCAGTCGTAAGGCTAAGTCCTACCTTTTTGGTAACGCGTAATCAATTGGTGTACAAAGTAATACTGATAACACAAGTGTGTTTCAATTATTATATATTTTAGTGTGCAATTTCTATCAATATGCCAATTGTCCAACTATTAATCTGGATATAGATCATTATTTATTATATATATAGTACATTAAAACTATATAAGATATCTACTTTGGAAATATCCTCAGCGTGTGTACCTGTCAGTTTTACGCCTATGACATTCCTTTTTGGTAGTAACACATAAACAGTTGGAATTTAAGATATTAAAAAGTGTATTATAATAATATTTAATATATATAACCAAGGTTAACTGTGACCGTACTAGCCAAGGTCTTACGCTGAGCCACCACAGTTTTATTGACTATATTTTGAATATAGATAGATATATTCTTAAAATTTTACTATGGAAAATTCAGAATAAGTACTAAGAATATCAAAATCGACTATAAGAAATTTATTAAATATATTATTTGTAAATATCTCGTGTAATTTTAAAAGTATAAAAAAATAATAAATCATAATAGAAACAGGTCACATTGGAAAAAATATTTTTGAACGAAGTATTTTGTCAAGGTAATGAAAGCGCGAATTGATGATTAAGATTTAATATATACATAAATCTAATTAATCAAAATAAACGAATACATCTACAAACGATTGTTAACATTGAACCGAGAAGTTAATACAAGATTAATTCGAACGACAACATAAGAAAATAAAAGTAAGCACCAAAATTTATTTGCATGTTTTACTCTTTAAGACTTCACATAGTAAATAAAAGTAAAAAAAGGTAAAATAGGAATAACTTTATTGAGTAGTTTAAATTATTAAGGCTATACTTTACTCTACATATTACACCCCAAAATTCCCATATAATATCTCAACTCTAACTCACCCCTTACTCAAAACTCCTTTATTCAAATCTATCCCTACTTTTTTATGTTAATTTTTGTATATTACACTAAATAGACAATTAAAATCATTCATTTTTATTGTTTTTAAATTAAATATCGAATAAGATTTAAAATAATAATAGGTTACTACAAAGTTAAATACTTTTTCTTTGTTATTTATGAATTTATTGACTCTATTTGTGTAGTCTACTAACAGTATGTAATGTTTCAAATTTTTTATTAATACGTTCCTATATAAATCATTTCTAAAAAAGTAATTTTGGGTTTTACATGAATTTAATAATGGATTGTTCCAATTATAGTCAATTTTTATTTAGATTTTTTCGTTTTTCGGAATATCTCGGATTCCAAACTGAAATACAGACTGCTTAGGTGATTTTTTTATATTATTTATATAAAATTTTCCTTTAAAACGATGTTTTAAGAACAAAATAATGATGAACCTTTTTTATAAGGGTGTCTTTTAAATATTTATAATAATGCAAAAAAGTAGACGCACACATGAACTTGATATTTAATGAAATTTAACCCACATAGCGTTCAAATAACAACGTTAGTGGATTATTTTAAACCTGACTAAAAAACAAATGAAAGAGTATACTGTTAATGCATAAAGAATAAATAAAGATATTAAAAATAATTAATAAAGAATAATTATAAAATGGAACAGAGTGAACAATAAATCAAAAAATGAGTTATAAATTATTTTAAGGCATTAAAAATATTAATAAAATGCAATAAATGATTGGAAATAGAAATTACAACTTAATTATTTAATAGTAATTGTAATTCAGGCATTGTTTGATTAGGAGTGTCATCTTTTAAGATATCGTAAATAAATTTGTCGATTTTTTTCAGATCTTCTACTTTACCAAGTTTCCAGTTAAACAATTGTGCCTGGTACCTTAATAATTCTATCAATACTTCACTTAAATCATATTCATCTAAAAAATATAAAAATTGTAATGATATACATAGTACATCATTAATGTCATAAATTATTTGTATACACAATAGATCATTAATGTCATAATAAACTATTTGAATACACAATAGATCATTAATGTCATAATAAACTATTTGTATAAACAATAGATCATTAACGTCATAATGTATCATTTA